TGAGACGTGAGTTGGTCAAATTTTCATATTTATACATGTTCAATCACTGTGTTCTAGCTTGTCTGATAAATCTCTGTTTGCCAACAGGGCTATGCTGGAACTGGATCAAATCCTCAAGGCAAATGAAATCAACTTCGCCATTCTAGCAGCCTTACCCGCATTTGGCCTCTCTCTTCTTCTGCTGGTGTTGTTGAGGGCGTGGATTAAGCAGGTAACCTGAACATAGAATTGCTAGTAATTAACGAATTTGCTGTCAACTGCCATTTTTGATAAAGTAGCTCTCTTTTTGGATCTTCTTCCACTATCGAAGAAGACAGAATACTGTTGTTTTCTGCTTTGTACTCGTGTTGAATAAAAAAATTTCACATCAGGCAAGTTTGTGCTGTAGTGTATTTATAACAGGAAACTACTTATTTTACTTCTGTCCAGCTAGCTCAGTCTATTTGCTCCTCTGACAACCGTTTGCAAGTGGTTTAAATTCTATGTTTTGGCTGTATAAATCAGGACACTAGAGCCGAAGGAAGGGGGAGAATAGCTAGGCGCCACAGGAGGCTGCTTTTGATAGAAGTAGAGAGAAGTATAATGCAGTACCAGGATTACCTGGACCACGGGATGGTAAGTAACTAAATGCCTTACTGGTTTGATTCTCAGTGGTTTATGGTCTTCGTCGTGTATTCTTTCAAAGCTTTATATTCGTTCCCCCCCCCCCCCCCCCCCCCCTCCCCCCCAAGTTGGATGATTCTCTCCAGCTATCTCTCTCTCTCTCTTCTTATTAATTTGCTTTCTATTACAGGCACCCGAGTCCCAATGCATGTTCGGAATGGTGTTGTACAGTCTGAATCGCTTGTGTCTCGCTGTCGAGGGGCACGCAATGGAAACTGGTGAATGGCAATTGTAAGTACACCTCAACCCAACTTACTTGCTACATAAGTTACTACAAATCTTCCCTTACTGTGTAATGACCCAAGTCTGGACATTGTTTTTCTAAAACCAGGCTGAGACAGGATATCGTGGATCTGGGAAAACCGAGCCTGACAACCGATTACAAGCTCAAAGTAACGTCGAGGATGGAGCGTGCATATGAGTGCTTGCTTCCTTCGACCACACGCCTGTAATTTTTGGCGGTCTGTGTGTTGATTTTTCATACTTGAAATACACAGGACCATACAAGGACTAGCAGTAGGAGGTAAAGGGTGGGGGTAATTGAAGAGGGATCCCTGGCTTATAAAATTCTCTCTCGATTTTGTTGTAAGCAGCGACCATAGAAGTTGCCAGGTGGAAGGTAGTGGGCTTTTTTCTACTTCCATGCGTGGTACAGCTATCTAGCCTTGAAATGGAGAAATAAGTAGAGATTTCGGATTTCTGATTCCATGGTTTTGGATTTTGGATCCATGATTTTGATCACATAGAGAATGTTTAAATTATTGACTAGATCATCTTCAAATGGGTGTTTGGGTCTCGAGACTTTATGGTCCTCAAAGTGAATTAAGTTATATATGACAGTAGAGGATGGATTGCTCTATGAAAGTAATTATCTATCTAATAGTAGTGCATAGAAGTGGCAATTAGGTTAGGATTCAAATCCATGAATTCAATCAATCCATTACGGGTCGTTTGCTTCATGGATTTGAAAAATGAAGGTTTTGGTAAAACCTGGGTTTTGGAAATCCATGGACTTATGAAGGTTTTAGATCCATTATGGACTTTTAAAAATCCATTGTTTGTTTCATGGATTTCATGATGGATTTTGTTTAATGAAATTTGTAGAGAAATTGACCTTATTGCCCCTATCTATAATCTTATAACGAAAGAAGACTCCAAATGTGCAACATATCATCATTAATTAAGCAAATGGTTCATTCTTTGTGTCGGAGGCTGCATTGGAAGGACAAGTGCCGGGGGAGATAAATACTGAACATTAATTGCAAGCTTGAATTTATCTCCATTTTAGTAAGCAAAGCATAACATAAATCAATTGTGGCGATTACTCGAAGAACATTCTTTTAGCAAGCAAAGCATAACATAAATCAATGGTTGTGATTACTCAAAGGACATCAAGAATGTTGTTTGTTGGAAGTAGAAGGAGATAAAAAATGGGAGGATGGCAATGGTGGTGATGCTGGGGTTCTTCGTGCAAGCATTTGTGACTCATAAGGGTCCAATTGGTGATTTTTGGAGCACCTCGCCACCCCATTTCACAATATAATCATTCATGCCTCTGTAGCCGTCACAAAACACCTTGTATGACATATATGTAGAAATTGAAGTAGGAAGGTAGATTGGCCATTTATATAAAAAGTGAGGACAAATAAGTAAAATACCATCATGGATTTTAATCCATCACCCAATTCCCACCTCCATAGCTAGTTTTTCCAAATCCGTGGGGTCCACGGATTTGGACCTCAAAAGTGCATGGGCCCCACGGATTTACACTCCCTAACTCCTTCAAGCAAACAATGGACTTTTATCAAAATCCATGAAGCATGCAAATCCATCACCAAATCCATCAACAAAACCCTCAAGCAAACGAACTACAGTATTATTCACTTAATCTAATTCATTTAAATCCAATCCATTTGATCCAAATTCAATTGGATTGGTGGATTCATGGATCAATCCATGGATCCAAATGACAAATTACAATTTGGTACCTGTATTTTTTATATTTTACATTTTGGTATCTAAAATTTATATTTTTATACGAAAAAAATCATTGGAAAATTATATTTTGGTACCTAAAATTTTTCGTTATGACATTTTAGTACATAAACTTTTCAAAATTTATATTTTGGTCCAAACCTTGGATGTCATTTGGATTCATGGATCAATCCACCAATCCATTTGATCCAATCCATGAATCCACCAATCCATTGGATCCAATCCATTTGATCCATGGATCCACCAATCCAATCCACGAATTCACGAATCCGATCCAATTGCCACCTCTAGTAGTGCAGTATTTAAGGTTGTTTCCTTGATGGATTTGGTGATGGATTTGGATCTATTATGGATTTTGTCCAAAGTTCATTGTTTGCTCATGTATTTTGTGGCAACAAATCCGTCGGTCCATGGACAGGGGTCGAAATTTGTGGGTCCCACGGACTTGAAAATTCTACCTAAAGGTAGGACTTGATCATGGACTTTAAAGTCCATCATTTATGATCAAACTACTACTCCTTTTATATTTCTCATCTCATACCAATGAGGGTAATGTAGGTCATTTTCACTTCATTTACACAAATCTAATAAACCAGATCCATAATGAAATCAATGAAACAAACAATGGACTTGTATTTTACAAGTCCATAATGAACCCAAAACCTTCATATATCTATGGTTTTACAAAATCCAAGGTTTACCAAAAAATTCATTTTTCAAATCCATGAAGCAAACGACATGTAAGTGTTCATAAGTAATCTAGACCATAACCATCCCAAAAGAAAAAGTGAATCTAGACCATTAATAGAACCTTCAAGTAGTAGTTTGTTAAGTAATCTACCCACGCCAATCAAGTATCGAACAATTATCCATGATTTAGTTAGTTATTTGCTTTCTAATGGTATTTTTTTGTCAAGAATCATTTAGTATCAATCTCTTGAGTTGTTGATAGATTTAAAAACGAATTTTATACCATTCTAGCAGGCTCTCTAAAAAATCTCAACTTATCTGGGTTTGAAGTTTGCACAAATACGAATATCATGTGTTTAACAAATGGAGTCGTCAATATTTGAACACAAGACCTCTCGATCAACCATTCGCAACTATACGCACCTAATTTTCATTATGAATTGTCTATTATACCTAATTTTTTTCATTTTCCTCCCAAGACCCACATGGTTACACAACGGCTCAAGACGTAAGTATGAATTCTATGTATATTCTTTCGAAATTGAAATTTCGGATGTTGAATTTTTTTTTATTAAGAAGGAAATTCATCTAATAGTTAGGGTGCATAACCAAATCTGGACCCTTCATTTAGAAAATCCAGATCTAAGGATGGAGAATTAAAGGTCATTTTTATTTTCACTAGCTTTCTTAATTGACTCATATCTTTTTCGTTTTAACTCGGATTTTAATTTTTTTTGCACACATGGAACGAGTTCATCGTGCTCTACAAAATGAGATCAATTTTCAATATTTTTTGAGGAAAAAGAAATTATGGCCTCTCGGTACCAACTGCATACCATATGGTATCTTCTTCGTTTTTTAATTTGTTTTTGAAAACGTTTGCACAGCAAGGACGAGTTCATCATGATCTATTGGATCTACAAATTTATGGGTGAACAAATTACAAGACAAAAAATACCACACAATACCATACAATACCACTCTGGTACGGGGTGGTATCTTATGGTATCTTATGGTATACAATGTTAAAAGTCGTAAATGACAATTAATATATTTCTACTATCATGTATTCAACCATCCTACAGTTTTGGTTTGTGTCATACCACAATGGTACGTTTTTCAAACCATAGGTATGCTCTTATTTCAATATCAGTCAATACCATATGGTATAGACTGGTATAAAATGACTCAATTTTTTTTGTTCGAAAAATATATCAAAGTGGATATCATTTTGAAGAGCACAATTAATCTGATCTAACTGTGCAAAAAAAAATTTAATTTCGACCTAAAACGAGTGAGAAATCGTCCGTCAAAGATTAAGGAGGGAAAAATTAAAGACTTTCCAGGAGAGAGAGGATGTTGATGTCATGCTGATATGGGCGGATTACTCTAGTTACTCACCATAAGGTTACTGACCTGATCCGTTTCCCCCTCCACCTCTATATACAAATTCATAACGTTAGAATACAAGTTCAATTTAGTTATACCATAAAATTTCTATTTTAAACCAAAATACCAATACTTGTAAAATTCATCATCAAAGAAGCGATTATAATTCAAAGTCTTATAACTATGATTATAACTTATAGGATGCATCATGCATAGTATAAAGTATAAACTCAAATACAATTCTTGTTGGTTTCTCGTTATACAACGACACCCGTAAAAAAGAAAAGTTAGTCCGACAAGGCGGGCTTGGAAGAGCCGGAAGGGAATTTTGATTTATCCACCTCCGCCTACACCGACGTCAACACTCTTGGGCCGCCGAGCGAGCTGCCTGCTAATATTACGCAGTAGAATATCGACTGCTTAATTACAATCCAGATTCCAGACGCTCCTTCTGACAAAATCCTCTTTTCTCTACTCTTCTGCCGCCGGATTATGATGATGATGGAAGGAGTGGCCCTCAAATTCCCGCCTCTCAAGCTCTTCAACCCTAATTTCCCCACTTCTCCCGCAACCACCGTCACACCTTCTCTTGCCCGCTTCGCCCTCCGCAGCTTCTCCTCTTCGTCTTCATCATCATCGTGTTCTGCTTCTCTTCCCGTTTCCGCCACCGCCGGGAAAGAAGCCGACTCGGCCCTCGGAACCCTCTCCCTCGGCCACCTGACCCGACCCGACTTCCCCATCCTCCACCAGGTAACTACAAGTTTAGAACTTGAATCCCCTTTTCAGTTCCTTGTGCCGGAAAGTTCCTGGCTTCCTGCCTTTGGGGTGTTGTTGTCTGTTTTTGAATTGGCTTGTTTTTGTGAAGGAGGTGAATGGGTCGAAGCTTGTGTACCTGGACAATGCTGCAACTTCTCAGAAGCCCCATCAAGTGTTGAAGGCTTTGCAGAGTTACTATGCTGGTTATAATTCTAACGTTCACAGAGGAATTCATTACCTAAGGTTCGGGTTCCTTTTTTTTCATCGACAGGGAATTTTACAGCTTCGCATTCTGAAATTTACTTTCTTTATTTGGTTTATTGGCAGTGCCAAAGCAACGGACCAATATGAATTAGCAAGGAAGAAGGTAGCTGATTTTATAAATGCAGAGGAGAGCCAAGAGATAGTGTTCACCAGGAATGCTACTGAAGCGATCAATCTAGTAGCATACTCCTGGGGGATATCGAATCTGAAACCCGGAGATGAGGTGCTTTTTTTTTGCAGTTTTGTTATCTGATGAACCTAGTTACAATTTGTAGTGAAATTGAACTTTTGACCAGGGTGCCGAAGTTTATAATTTGCATGTCAATACCAATAATATACATGGAAGAATATCATAGTTGTAGTCTTGTTTTATTCACTGAAATAGTCAGCTAGTAGTAGTGTGATGGTGTGGTTAAGTAGTTGGAAGACTGTGTCTTGTCCTGAACCTTGTCTCAACTTAGCAGCTTGTAATCGGAACTGTAGAATGTGCACAGCTGAATCAAATACTTGCTCTTTTCAAGGTTTTCCCCCCTTCCTTGAGTAATTCATCCTTATCCTACTTGAGCGGATACATGCTAGATTTCTGAAAGAAGTAGGATGTCCACACTTTAGCTTTGAGTTGTTGCCAATGGTAAAAAGAGTTTACACAGCAAGAAAGTCTACTTGTCTAAAACGAAGTTGTTCACTCTACTCTTCTCCCTTCTCTACTGCTTCTGTTTATGCAAATTAGAAGAAGAATCTAGAGATGTTACAAAAGGTATTACCACCCTGTTTAAAATCATATTTCCTAGACTCTAGCAATAGCTGTCTTTTGGCAGGCCTCTCGGATATAACCTAGTAAAATCCTATAGCAACTAAGATTGTAAATCTAAGAAACCGATAACTGTCTTTAGTTTTTGGAAGTATGTTGCCACCTCACAATGTCTTCTGTTGATTATGTTTGCAAAATCCAGTTTCTTTATTGGTCTTTTTTTAATCAACCCTTAATTTAGCTTGTATTTCTTCCAGGTCTTACTCACAGTGGCAGAACATCACAGTGCTATTGTTCCTTGGCAGCTTGTAGCTCAGAGGACTGGCGCAGTACTAAGGTTTGTAGATTTGGATGAAAATGAGGTTCCTGAAGTGGAGAAGCTGAGGGAATCAATTTCTCGGAAAACAAAGCTGGTTGTTGTGCACCATGTATCAAATGTGCTGGGTATGTTTCCTTTTCGTTTATCTCTCTTATTTTATTTGGATTTGCTGGTATTTGTGCTTATGTGTTATGTCGGGAACATATAGTTTATTTCGATTTGCTGGTATTTGTGTTTTCCTTCTCATTGGCTGTGTGAAATTAGCTTCTTCTAACATGTAGCAGTAAATAATGTACTTTTCTGACTGGTGTTTTTCTCACCCATTTGTACTAAACACAAGATGCTAATTAAGTGGTTTGTGTATTCTGCAGCTTCTTTTCTTCCTATAAAACATATAGCACGATGGGTTCATGATGTTGGAGGAAAGATACTAGTTGATGCTTGCCAAAGTGTTCCACATATTGTGGTCGATGTGCAGGAGCTAGATGCAGACTTTCTTGTTGCTTCTTCTCACAAGGTTAGGTTATGGCCTTAACGTCTTTCCTTACAAGATTTAGCTAAGCGAATGAAGTTAAGAAATAATCATGCTCCAGATGTGTGGGCCTACAGGCATTGGATTCTTGTATGCCAAAAGTGACATCTTATCAGCCATGCCTCCATTTTTAGGTAAGCTACAATGAAAATATGGAACTTCCTGAATTCCTGAATTGTGGTGCTAGCTTCAAAAATTAGGGATAGCCAGTACAGAAGTGCTAATGTGGTTGTCTTTTATAGGCGGTGGGGAGATGATATCGGATGTTTTCTTAGATCATTCCACATATGCAGATCCTCCCTCAAGGTTGGTGAATTCTTCTATTTGTGCTCCATAAAGAATATTCAAGAGCAATGTAGAGAGACTGTTGTTGCACAAACATATTGGATTCCCTTGTGCTGTTGATTGTGTCCATAATAGTGCTCGAGGAAGTCTGAGCGGTGATTATAGAAATTAATTATGGCATGGCTGTCTCTTCCTCCGGGCCAGATTTGAGGCTGGCACCCCAGCTATTGGTGAAGCAATTGGCTTGGGAGCAGCGATTGATTACTTGCAAGGGATTGGGATGCAGAAGATTCACGACTATGAGGTGAGTTTCGGGGGAAGCATTACTTCTAAGGGTCATCGTTTCATTCATTTATAGTGGGCTTCTTTTGGGATGGGAAATGATGTAGATCTCTTCTGCACATATTGATTGCTACCCATTGTTCTGATAGATTAATCAATAAGCGTTATCCGTTTTCCCAGACAGAGTTGGCTAACTATTTATACGAAAGCCTGTCTACCATCCCCAATGTCCGAATATATGGGCCGAGACCTTCAGAAAAGGTGAAACGTGCTGCCTTGTGTTCTTTCAATGTTGAGGATGTTCACCCCACAGATCTAGCAACTCTACTTGATCAACAGGTGAGTGAGCAACTAGTTACTTCCATAAATCATCTCTTGTAGCAATAAGGTTAGTAACATCCATTTGCAAGAATGCTGACGTACTTTTGTGACTGACTCTCTCAGCACGGAGTGGCTATCAGATCTGGTCATCATTGTGCTCAGCCTCTCCATCGGTATTTAGGCGTGAATGCAAGTGCTCGGGCCAGTCTTCATTTCTACAACACCAAAGATGATGTGGACGATTTCATCAACGCCCTAAGTGAAACAGTCAGCTTCTTGAACTCTTTCAAGTAGAGTGAGCAAAATCCGCTTCATTCGTTCCTTTCCCCCCAAGGCTGCCCTGCTCTCCACATTGATGTCAAGAAAACTGGATACTGAAGGATTCTCAGCTTGTAGTTATTTTTCTGTCAGGCTGCTACATCTTGTGGTCTTTGTACAATAGCCATAGGACGGATGTATACATTATTATACAGTGGATTCCCTTGTTTGATAGAAATAATGTTAAGATATGTAAGTGTCGAGAATCAAACATCGGCAAGTTATGTGTAATCGTATTGATTCTATCGGAATAAAAATAAGGGAAGTTGGTTCAATGACGAGATTAAGTAACGATTAAGCTGGTGTAAATTAATCATCATAAAGGGAGTATACAGTGCAAACTGCAAAGAACTTGGAAAAGTTGGTTCTCAGATTAATTGACGCATGACATTGGCTGTAATGCATGTAATCAGCGTATACAACGGAAAATTTCGTTCTCAGATTAATTGACGCATGACATTGGCTGTAATGCATGTAATCAGCGTATACAACGGAAAAATTTTGCAAAAAATAATAGATGTTGAGAGTGGGATTTGAACCCACGCCCTTTCGGACCAGAACCTTAATCTGGCGCCTTAGACCAACTCGGCCATCTCAACTTTATGTCAAAAATTTCAAGCACAGTAATTTATCAATAAATATCATTTCATTTGCGATTTAATACAATGTGAAGTTATTTTTCTTGGGATCTAATATTAGGTTTTTTTTATCACAATTGGGATCTTATATTATGTTTTTATGATAATTGTTGGGAGTTCATCTGATTGCTACATAATAGTAACGTTTTTGTACATTATTAAAGTTCTAATAACTCAAATTTTGATTTTTCATTTTACATGGATGTTTCTTTGATGTCATCATTTTTATATTCATCTTCTCTATTCTTGGATTCTTCAAGGTCTTGACCAATATTTTTACAGTAGGGGAAAGTGATCTACCATGTAGACAATATGGTCTACCTTACTGGTCATGTGGTCGACTCGATTGACAGTATGGTCTACGAAAAACCTCCACAAAATTTCAAGTAAAATTACTTGAAGTTTATCAGAAGCCAGCCTAGACATGCCTTAATATTTGTATCTTACAAAGAACAAAATGTTGATTTCGTCAAAAGAACAAACTAAGCTTGACACTCTGAAGTCCCTTTGAATTTGTGTAAAAGTAGGCATGAAGGGGGCATGGGGTTTCGCCGTTTTGAGCACTTCAACCAAGCTTTGCTGGCTAAAATTGGTTGGCGTATCCTTGAGGAACCCCAATCCCTTATTGCCCAGGTCTACAAAGGTAAATACTTCCCCAATGGAACGTTTCTCACTGCTCAGGCCCGGTCTCGTCCCTCTTGGGGGTGGCAAAGTATCCTCTTTGGTCGGCAATTGTTGGAATCAGGGTTGCGATGGCAAATTGGGAATGGTCAGAAGGCTCCTCTGCTAACATCCAGTTGGATTCCACAGGAACATCCCCGTCACCCAGTCTATAACCCGTGCGTGGTTCCTGATGGTGAGGGTTTGAAGGTGGTGGAGGTAATCCAACAGGGGGAGGGACGATGGAATGATCAAAAGCTTAGTCAATGGTTTGATCCAGTTACCTGTAGAGCCATTAAGACCATCATCCCTTTGCCGCGCCAGAATATTGAGGATAAATTAATATGGCATCCGACTTCTGATGGTGTTTTCTCGGTTAAATCTGCGTATTACGTCGCGGTTAATTTGGATCGTCAGAAGGGGCGTTGGAGGGCTTTGGCTAGTTGGATGGATAAGTCTAGTTGGATCAGGCTGTGGGAGGCGGATATTCCTCCGAAGCTTAGGGTGTTTATTTGGCAAGTCTTTCATAGAATTCTTCCCACTACAGAAGCGTTGCGTGAAAAGAAGGTGGACGTTTTGCCTCGATGTCCGGTGTGCTGGGCGGCATCGGAAACTCTGGAACATATGTTCTTGGAGTGTCCGGTGGCTCGTGCATTGTGGGATCATTCTGGGCTGGCTCATCTGGTGAAGGGTTGCCTCGCCATACGTTCCCGCTCTTTCTGAAGAAATTGCTGGTTGTGGTGCATACCCCTGCTTTGGTGATGTCTGTTGTGGCTGTTCTGTGGCGAATTTGGCGGTCCCGTAATTGGGTAGTCTTTGAAGGCAAACAGTTCGGATCCCTGCCTTGATGCGGCAATTTCACCAACAAGTCCAGGAATGGCTTAGCTTCCCCCGGGGCCAGTCTTATCAGCTTACGCACCCCCGGTCCCTACAGTAACTGCTGATGGACCTGACACGGCAATTTGTATGTGGGATCGGGCGGTGCGGGTGGGTTCGCATGCGACAGGGGGAATGGTTATCCTTAATTCTGATAGAGCGGTCAGCCTTGCGAAGGGGGTTCATTTCCCATTCTTTGATGATCCAAAGATGGTGGAAGCTCTAGTCCTCCGGGAGGCGATTGTTTGGTGTTTGTCCAATGGATTCAATGTCATGATGTTTGAAGGTGATGCCCAGGTGATAATTGAGAAGATTCTCCGGAAGGCTATTCAGGATAACCATATAGGGGCAATTCTGGAAGAGATAGTAAATTTATTTGCTTCAAACATAGGTTTCACTGTACGATTTGTAGGTCGACGTAACAATAGGGTAGCTCATTTGGTAGCTAGACAGGCCCTGTCTTTGTTCCCGACTACATGTCGTTCGTTTGATTTCCAGGCCTGGCTGTATTTCAGGATGTAATGATCTTTTGATTTCAATCTAATGATTATCTTTTGTAAAAAAAAAAAAAAGCTTGACACTCTGAAGGTTATTCATCACCCTTATTCAACCATCAAGCGGTCAAATTAACCCAAAAAATAAAATAAACACTCCATATATTCTAGGATATGTTTTTAATGAAGATTCTTCACAGTAAACTTGCACTAAAAATCACTATGCCGCAAACAGTTTCATTCCATGAAAAACAATTGAGAGCATCAGTACAGATTTATTATATGGTTATAGAGGTATATAACATTTTGACCTAGTCTAAACTGAATTGAGACAAAATAATCATGATTTAAAAGTAATGATACTTTGGAGATCAATGCGATACCAAAATGACATTTTATTCTACTCAAATATCAATTCATTCCTTTTTTTTTTAATAAAAAATTCATGCAGTCGAAAACCATTCCACATTATATAGTAGGGGTGGCAGTCGGTCGGTTTTGGTTTAACCAAAAACCGATTTCTCGGTTATTGGTTAAACCGAGTCGTCCCCTATGTCTGCCGACGACCGACCGTGAAAGGAGTCACGGTTAGCCAACCACAGACCGGCCGGTTTTAGGTTCTAGATCGGTTTAACCATGGTAACCGCAACAAATCATTCCTCCTCCCCCTGTTCCCATCTCCTTCTACCCTTTCTCTATCCTTTCCTTGTTCCCATCTCCTTCTACCCTTTCCTCTCCCCAAAAAATCATTCCTCCTCCCTCTCCATTCACAAGATCTATTTCTCTACCCTCACAACTGCCATCAATCTGAACGGCGGGGAAGGGAGGTTCGTGGCGCTGCTGCCGTCGGGGTTTGTCGTTCTGCCCGACGGCCACGGCGGGATAGTGCAGAATGATGTTGGCGGCGAGGAAGGACAGGCCGCTGCCGGGGTGGATGAGGGAGTGGTGATGAGCGGGTGCGTTGTGACGATTGGGTTCCAGATCTTGGTGAACAACCTGCCAGTGGGGAAGCTGGCGGCGGATTCGGTGGATAAGGTGAACAACCTGTTGTCGTGCACCATCCAGAGGATCAAGGACTCCCTCCATCTTCCGATCACTCTGTCAAACGAGGCCTCTGTTTTCCTCGCAGCTCCACCGATGCTCACCATCTCCTCAGCCGAAGTAGAGGATGATGAAGAAGACAGGTTTCTAGCCGGGTGAGAGACGAGGGATCTGAGTTTGGAGTTGGCGTGGTGGTGGATTGATCTCACGTGATTCCACCGGCACACCCCTTGGTCTTTGAGCGCCTCCACCGCGCCTATGCTGGCCGCCACCATCCAAGCTTTGCCCGCCGCCGCTGCTGAACTCATATTTAGGGGTGGCAGTCGGAAGCGAGGCGCGGCGCGGCGCTAGATCGGGGAGATGGGGGAGGGTCTTTGAATTAGGTTATTTGATTTGGCGGTGAAGGGTTTTCTGCGATTTTGGGATGGGGAGAAGGAGATTTTCATTGAGGGTCATCCGGTTAGCCGCGGTTAATCATTCCCGATTATTCGGCTAGCCGGAGCCCTCTGATGGGCATCCAAACACCGACCGAGGTTGGTTTTTGCCAGTTTTCGATTGGTCGGTTTTTGCCAGTTTTCGATTATAACCGGCGACTAACCGCTAACCGACAACCGATTTGCCAGCCCTATTATATACTCTTTCCTGTTCCAGCTAGTTCAAATATAAATCGACCAAACCATAACACACCCCTATATGTATAGGTGTCAATCGGGCGGGTTCGGGCTGGGTTCAATCAGGTTTGGGTTCAAACGGGTTGCTAGTTAGTCGGGTTACGGGTTCATCGGGTTCGGGTTCAAACGGGTTGCGAGTTAGTCGGGTTGCGGGTTCATCGGGTTGCGGGTTCAATCAGGTTGCAGGCAAATCGGGTTGCGGGTTCATCGGGTTTTGGGTCGGGCGGATCGGGTTTTGGGTTGTTCGGGCCAACGCATCAAGTAACTTAACTCATTACTCATTACCAACTTACACATTTTATTACACTAATTTAAAATATTTTCTCAATTTTTTAACCAATTTATTTCTACCTCGTATATATATACTTTGTTTTTTTTTAAAAAAAACTAGTCAAAATGTAAAATCAATTTGTATGACTTGCAAACTTGTTATGTAATTAATCATAATTGGTAAAGTATTATAGCGAATAGTAATGGTGATATCAATATTTGCAACCAAAAGACAACATTAATTGTTTATTTGATATTTTATTATTAATTCAGTAGTAATTGGATTAAAGTATCTCGTTTAGTATAACCATGCAAATTTGGAATTTGGCGTGTGGTATTTGGCAAAAGCATAGTGATAAAAGGAATTATTTCGAAATAACTCATTGCCCAAATAACTTCAGTAAATTGTTGCCAAACGAGTTATTTGTAAAATTGTTCGAATTATCTTAAAAATTGAACCATTAAAGATTAACTATCAAATTTAGTAAAATTATTGTGACTTCAATCATAACTTACTCAATAGCATATATCCTACACACTTAGCCTTACCCTCAATCAAAAATATTAAGTTAGTATATGTTGTTGATTGTATACCCTAAACCATCAATACATTATACACTAACCACATAACCTATACCCTAACCATATGTCTTTGAGTTGTGATTTTGCTAGTATAGTTAATTTAAAAGTGAAATTCATACTTTGATTTTCAAAACATAGATAAAAAGTGATATTTGCTAATTGTTATACCCTAACCATATATCATATACTTTATACCACATACCTTGTACCCTAACCACGTACCATAAACATAAATTAAAAAGGGATCTCCTGTCGTCAAAGACTTCAAATGACTTCAAGTGAACATATGTTAATAAAAAACTTAGAACCGTCAAACCATCAATATCTTATACCCTAACCATATACACCCTAAACCATATGTACCTTATACCCTATACCCTAACCATATACTTTATATCCTAAGCAACGAACCGTCAAAGATTACTTATCAAGTTCAGTATAAATTGTTGTAACTAATGGTTAATATATATATTAGCCTTCAAAGCATATAAGAATAATTTTAACTAGTCATGCCCTCCATATAAAAGTTAAAGATTCATATTTCAAAAGCTAAAATTATGAAAAACCAAAAAAATTGAAAACACCAAATTTGTTTCCTTCTTTCTTTTCACAAAAATACTAAAATTTTGCCTCTTTCTTTCTACTTCCATACATTAGAAAACTCAATTTTCCCTCCTCTTTCTCTTCCATAAAATTGAAAGAACCAAATTACCCTCTTCTTTCCTTCTACAAAAAGTTGAAAACTCAAAAGTTTCCCTCCTTATTTCTCTTTCAATAATCAAAAGAATCAAACTTTCCCACTTCTTTCTCTTCCCACATATGAAAACCACAAAATTCCCATTTATTTCTTTTCTAAAAAATTCAAAGAACCAAATTTCTCTCTTCTTTCTCTTCCCAAAAACTTGAATACACCAAAATTTCCCTCTTCATTTAAAAACATCAAATTATCAAATACATTACTTTACTTTATTTATATTTAATTGATAATTTTATTGAATAGTTAAATTAACCAAAGTTTTAATTTATATATTATATTAATATTGTCATGATCTCAAGTGACCTTCATGTTTCAATTTTTGTAATTTTCTTAAAATACGTAATATCAAGTGAGTTTCATATTTTTAAAATTTCCTATACGAAATGAAAAAATAATTTTACTTAAGTTTAGAATGAAAAACTTTATTTTGAAAAACTATGTATTGTATATTTTTATAATTATTCAAGTGGATTAGATGAAATTCGGGTTGAGTCGGTCGGGTTACGGGTTAGTCAGGTTCGGGTCAATCGGGTTGCGGGTTAATCGGATTGCGGGTCAGTCGGGTTGCGGGTCAATCGGGTTCGGGTTAATTGGGTTGCGGGTCAGTCGGGTTGCGGGTTAGTTGGGTTGTGGGTCAATCGGGTTGCGGGTCGGGCGGGTTACGGGTTATTGACTTTTAATCAATTCGGATTGCGATCGGATTGCGGGTCGAGTTGATCGGGCGGATTACTCAGGTCGGACTATGTTTTTACACCTATACCTATCTCTCTGCAATGGTAATATCAATTATTTACTTCTCAATTCATGTTTTTTTTCTTTCACCCTTCCTTTTCAAACCCTTATAATAAATTTAACAACATGGGATGCCGTTTTGCAAAAGCAAAGCCATGCATGTAACCAAAATATTCGTTCAACTTCTCCTATTGGCGGAAAAGAGAAGAAAAGGCCTCCTAATCGAATCCAATGCCAGAGTCCATCCATTTTTCCACGCACAATACCCCACGCGCTCTCGCCTCTCCCTCACGTTACATCCATCATCATCATTCTTGTCTCCTACGCAAACGACAACACACCCCAAAAAAAAAAAGCACATAGGCTCAGCATTCCACCGTCACACAGGCGGCGCGTCGTATCACCTCCGGCAAGTCCGGCCCCCTGCTCCACTCCCCACCGCCGCCATTCCCTGCCGGATCGTAGACCAGCACCAACCCTTCCCTCAACCCCCTCCCGCTCCTCCCGCTCCGCCGCAGCAAGTCGTCGATCGAACCAATCACCTGCACCATCACCACCTTCTCCTCCACCGCCACGCAGCCGAACCTCACCGTCCCGTCCACCAGCCTCATCTGCTGCGGCACCGGCGGGCTCTTCACCCTGCTCCACTCCCCGAACCCACCGCCGCCGCCACCCCTCCGCGCGTCGAACCGCCAGAACGACAGCTCCACCGCGTGGCTCGCCAGAACGTACACGAACCCCCCCGCCGCGCAGGCCGCCACCACGCACCCGCCGCCGGGCACCGCCCGGCTCCGCAGCCACGCGCGCGTCTCCACGTCGTACAGGTCCATCGAGCTCGCGTACGCGCACGCCTCCGCCCCAGCGCGCGTCGAGGCGGCCTCGGCTCCGGCGATCTTCAGCCCGCCGATCACGTAGAACACCCCGTCCACCGCCGCGCCGACGCACCCGTACCTCCTCCGTGGCGCTTGGGAAACCACGCGCCACGCGTCGTTAACCGGATCGTACTCCTCGACGGCAGCCACGGCAGGCGTCCGAGTGGACACGCCGCCTCCGGCGACGTAGATCTTCCCCGATACGACGGCGGAGGCGAATTTCTTCCGGGGGAAAACCATGGGGGAGATGGAGGAAACGGTGTCGGTCCAGATGTGGTAGCATAAAGTGTGGGCCCGGGCGAGGATGTAAATGGTGGGCCCCACTGCGGCCAATCTGGCGTGGGCGAAAATTTCGGGGGAGAATGAATGGAATGGGAGAGAAGATGCTTCAACATTCCAATCGGCGGGGGAGCGGTGGAGGAGGAGGGAGGCGGCGAAGAGGGTCGGGGAATCGGAGGAGGAGAAGGCGAAGAGGGTGGGGCGGAGGAGGCCGCGGAGGCGGCGGAGGGAGAGGAAGGAGGCGGAGTCGAGGAGGTGAGACCAGCGGCGGCAGACGGCGGAGAGGGCGGGGAGGGAGGCGGAAGGGACGCGGGTGAGGCAGTCGAGGAGGAGGTCGTCGGGGAGTGAGGAGAGCGTGGTGGTGGCTGCGGCGGCGGTGAAGGAGGCGGCGGAGATGGGGTGGTGGAAGGATTTGGAAGGGGAGTGGTGGTGGGTGGGATTTGGGAGGCAGGATTTCACCAGCCATGAGAAGTGGCGGGAGTTGCAGCTCTCCGGCGACATTGTTGATGATTCGCTCTGAAGAATTGAACCGCCGCCGGCGGGAGTTTCAGAAATTGAAGATTGTGGTGGAGGAAAGTTTCAAAGTTGTAGTAGTGTTTACTGCTTTTCCTTTCCCGATATTATTTTTCTTTTTCCGATTTTCTTTTGGGGACTGGACTGGGTAATGGAATGTGATTGGGTAGCTTAGATGGGCCCGTTTTGCGTCCAAACCTTCTATGCTGCGGCTCTTTATTTCTCTCTTTCGGTGGTAAAGAGAATTACTTGCTTGAATCTTTGTTTATGGTCATTTGTTATTCAAGTGTGAGGTGACGAAAAATAATTAGAAGTGCTGTCTTTTTCCCCCCAAACTTGTTAATCCTACAGCAATATGAATATGACACAAGGTGATGATCCAGCAGAAAACGATCGGTATCAAACTCGTAACTGTTTTGAGGGGGAAAAATGGTATATTAACAGAATCTATCTTGAATTTAACTATGTCAATGAACTACCTCTCTTTCTCTTTTAGACAAAACTATCTCTCTTACTTGATAATAGTTTCCAGCACAAAAGTAGATGTTGTATTTGGCAAAGATGGCATTGGCATGTTGTATTTTCTCTTCCGTTTATCGCCACATCGTTAATATCATTCTCGCCGTCATGATTGATGGCGGAGATTATGGTCGATAGGTCAAGAGGGAAGCTTGATGATGGAGAGCTCCTCTCGTAAATTATGACTAGAGCTTTTTGGTCACCTGATGATCATTAGTAATAGAGACAGCTAAGAACGTGTTGTATAGGGTTATAGCCGTCCAGGGAATCGTGGAGTCTCTATTCCAGAATGTCAATGAGACAATGACTAACACTAGTATTAATTAACAGCATTTGGCCCATCATTATTCTCATAATTAATTAATCAGACACGACAAGTTTATTATATACACTATTGGATTAACCAACAAACGGAAAAGTGGAAGCCCCCTAACATTCTCAGGCCCTATGCCTGAGGACCTCCCGGCACCCCGTATATGATGATGAAGGTAGGGAGTTGAAATCTTGGCATACATATATTGATAGAACCCATCCAAGTCGATCGCGCGGATTAGGTGTTTTACATTTTATTATTACAGGTAACGACGATGAGATATAGGAAATGAAATCTATGACCTTATTACGGACGTGACTAATTGACTATATAACTTCCTAGATTAATCGATATAAGACCGAACAACAAAAATCAACAAGAATATTGGAGTTCACGTGTCTGATTCTAGGTGAATTTTTCCGGCACTACTCACTGATGAAGTCTCCGTCGAAGTCTTCTCTCTGGCGCCAGCAGCAAGCAAACGTACGGAACCATAAATTGAATTCAGTCCTTGATCAAGCTAGCTAGGTCCCAACTGCAGTAACCATCGTCGTCAATATTTCTCGACAGGGAAAAAGGGAAGAAGAAAAAAACAAGACGCCATTACTTCCCACCCCCCCCAAAGCAGGGAAAATACAAACTGCATACATCAATAAAAGACAAGCAAGCATATAATATGTGTTGGGCATAGGACTCGGGCCTAACCACGCCAAGGAACCGGGCGCAACTGGATGAGACCCCAACACGGCAGCGCGAGGACCCCGAGTGTGCCGCCTCATCATGGCTAACCACGTCCAGGCGCGAAGAGATGACAGGCGCTAGGGAAGGACTAGCGTAGGCTGAACCAGAAGATGAGGGAAGCGCACCTCTTCCAAGCGGGTAGTCACATCAGGGCCATGAGTGGATCTCTGACTCATCCTAGGTAGAGGGATGGCCTAAAAGCCTTAGTATGCCAGTGGTCACATCATTGTATCCCAGTAGTCACATCACTGTATCTCTCCCTATGTCAACCACTCACCCACCACCATGAAGCCTATAAATATGGCATTTACTACGGTGGGTGAGGGGATCGCATTTTTCACCATTCTCTCTCTACAAGAACTACTTCTCTTTCTAATCTCTCTCTCTTACTCACTCTCTCTGATTCTGATTCCTCCGATCAAGCCCGGCTCTCACGTTTCTTCTCGACCCAAACTCTCATTCGAACCTCACTCCTACACTCAGTTAGGTTCAAACAATTGGCGCCCACCGTGGGGCAGAGAGGAAACGCTGAAAAAGACCCACCAATGGCAGAGCGCAATCTCGAACAACCTGACCAAGCAACGCCGATCAAGGCGATGACTGACCCAAGGGCGTTCGCAGAAGCCAGCAACCTCAACGCGGTACTCATCGAGGAAGAAGAACCGGAGCTGACGCCCAAAGAAATGAGGGAGCTGTTGACGAAACAAAACAACGTCATAGCCGACGTGCAGAGACAAATGAGCCAGGTAATCGCGCTCATGATGAGCAAGGAAGGCGCGCCAACGACGGAGGCGACAGCGAGCGCGCCTCAACAAGCCTTGGGAGAAACTTCAGGGACAATCCTGTCGTCGCAACTCGCGCCAGCGGAACTTCCCGCACGCGGGACACAGGAAGTCGAACCACCGGGGCGGGCAGACCTCAGCTTCTTGGAGCAACACCTGACTCCGCAATACCGGCCCAACCCGCCCAAAAGGACCCTACACCAGCCATTGAGCGCGCAAATAATGGCAGAGAACCTAACCGGAGCGCCACCAACCCTCCCGACATACAACGGCACTACCGACCCGGAGGACCACGTGAGCAGCTTCTGCCTGCGCATGCAACTCCAAACCAACTCCAACGCCGCGCTATGCAGAACCTTCCCCTCGACATTCACCGGGATATGCCTCGATTGGTACAACCGCCTCCCCAATGGAATCATCAACTCGTTTGAGGAGTTCATACTTCTGTTCACCACAAAATTCGCGTCCCAGAAGCGACGCCCCCTCCACCTCAAGGCCCTGATAGATATCAGGCAAAAAGACGGAGAAAGCCTGAGGGCTTTCTACGCCAGATGGTCCCGGGTAGCAATGTCCGTTCGCGACCTTACTCCCGAAACAGCCGCCCATCACCTCATGGAGGCAACCAACAATATGGAGCTCAAACGGGCCTTAGCAAAAAGGCCCGTCACGCTGTCGACGGAGTTGGAGATGAAGATCGAGAAGGCAATCACGTTGGAAGAAACCTTGGGGGCGGGATCCGTCAGGCGCTTCGAACCGGCGAGAATGTCGCGAGAGGAACAGACGCGTCGACAACCTCCGACCCCAATCCCACGGGACCAACTACTACAGATGCACAGTGGTCCGAAGCGCAACCCCCCTCCCCCACCAGAGCAGGGACAGCGCGGGCGATCGCCAGACAGGCGCGTATCCAATGCCTACACGCCCCTCAATGACTCCGTGAGAAACGTGTTCCACGTCCTCCGCGAGAAAGGATACAAGCTTAACTGGCCTGCCCCGCTGAAGTCTCGACCCTACATGCGCGACCCGAGCAGGCATTGTGAATTTCACAGAGCAACGGGGCATAAGACAGAAGAATGCCGAGAGTTACGGTATGAAATAGAGGGCCTCGTACGACGAGGGTTGCTAACTGAGTTCACCCACGTGAAAAAGGAGCAAGTCGAAGCGCCGCAACAACCACCCCCACCCCCACAAGCCGATTACGACGATGACACAGGCGCGTATGTAGTGCGCAAAGAAATCGGGGTGGTAACGGTCGAAGGAGATCGTCCCAAGAAGAAAACCAAGCGTGAGCGCGCAACGGAATGCGCGGCTGTCGACGCACCGCCAAAGTTCAATCTGAGCTTCGGCGACGCGGAGTTCCCACAAGGAATCCCGTCGGAGGAGCCACTCATCGTCACCGCGCTGATTGCCGCCTGCAAGACCCACCGTCTCCTGATAGACGGGGGTAGTGCGGCCGACATCCTCTTCCAGAGTACCATCAACAAAATGGATATCGATCCGCGCCTAATCAGGCGCGCACACGGCAACTTAGTTGGTTTCTCCGGAACCAGAGTCCCGGTAATTGGAGTGGTCACCCTCCCAGTGGTTATTGGGGACCAAGAGCCCCGCGTCTCCAAGCAGGTAGAGTTCACAATCGTCGATTGCGAATCGGCGCACAATGGCATCTTGGGCCGACCTTTCCTCGCGAAGTTCATGGCCCTCCCATCGACGTGTCACCAGAAGCTCAAGTTTCCAACACAGGGAGGAGTCGGGGAGGCGCGAGGAACGACTTGGGAAGACCGCGTTGTGGCACGCCAAACCAACATCGTCGACACAAGAGCAGAAGAGCCCCGCCCGGAATCCATGGATTCCGATTTCGAGGTCGTGCTAGACCCTGCCGAGCCGACCAGGAAGATACGCATCTCCACTCACGTCAGCAGCGACGCAATCGAACCACTCATAGCGCTGCTGAAGGAGTACAAGGAGCTCTTCGCGTGGTGCACAGAGGACATGCCAGGAGTGCCCAGGGAGGTAGCGCAGCATAGCCTCGCGGTCCCAGCCGGCGCCGAACCAAGGCAACAAGGGCGGAGAACGTTCACCGGGGACAAGCTGAAGGCGATAGAAGAGGAGGTTGCGCGCCTGCTAGCAGCCGGATTGATCCGCCCCGTGAAGTACCCGAAGTGGCTGGCGAACGTGGTCCTGGTCAAAAAATCGTCAGGAGCCTGGCGGATGTGCGTTGACTACACCACAATCAACAAAGTATGCCCGGGAGACCCTTACCCCCTGCCGCGCATCGACCAGCTGATCGACGCGACCGCCGACCACGAGACGTTGTCCTTCCTCGACATGTTCTCAGGATATCACCAAATCCAAATGTCCAAGGAAGATGAAGAAAAAACGGCTTTCATGACACCTTTCGGGAACTTCTGCTTCGTAGGTATGCCGTTCGGGTTGAAAAACGCGGGCGCGACATACCAAAGAATGATCGACGCAGTTTTCTCGCAGCAAATCGGGCGGAACATCGAGGCGTATGTGGACGACCTCATCGTCAAAACCAAGGCGGGTAAGTCACACCTGGAGGACCTGCGCGAGACCTTCGAAGCCCTCCGCAAGCACAGCCTTCGCCTCAATCCACTCAAGTGCGTCTTTGGAGCAGAGGCGGGGAAATTTCTGGGGTTCATGATAACCAAGCGCGGCATAGAGGTCGATCCGAAGCAAATCACCGCGGTCCAACAACTACGAGCGCCGCGGAACGCATTGGAAATCCAATCTCTGAACGGCAAGATAGCGGCACTGGGGAGGTTCATACCAAGGTCCGCTGACAAATGCGCGCCCTTCTTCCAGACACTCAAGAACGGGACGCGCTTCGCATGGTCCACGGAATGCGAAGCGGCCTTCCAGGAATTAAAGGCGTATCTTGTATCCCCCCCTGTACTGACCGCTCCCAAGCTTAATGAAAAACTTTTCTTGTATCTCGCCGTGTCAACAAGAGCCGTGAGCGCGGTTCTGATATCCAGGAGGGATGGCAGGACTGAGCAACCAGTGTATTACACCTCGCGCACTCTCGTTAGCGCCGAAACAAGATATTCCTCGATCGAGAAAGCTGCCCTGGCGTTAGTGAGCGCTTCGCAGAAACTGCGCCCGTACTTTCAAGCGCACCAGGTCACCGTCCTGACCAACCTGCCACTAAAAAAGATTCTGACTTCAATGGAAGTGTCGGGGCGCATGGTCAAATGGGCGGTGGAGCTCTCGGAGTACGATATTCAATACGCGCCGAGGCCAGCAATCAAGGCCCAAATCTTAGCGGACTTCATCGCGGAAGGGGTGACCCTCGAAACAACGCCGGAGGGCGTTTGGGAAGTCTATGTCGATGGAGCGGCAAGTAAGCATGGCGCCGGAGCGGGGGTTGTGGTGCGCACACCTGCCGGCGTAATGCACGAAATCGCAATCAGGTTCAGGGCGTTGAAGACAAACAACGCCGCGGAATACGAGGCCATCTTGGCAGGAATGACGGCCGCTCACGACCTCGGGGCAAGAACGGTGCGTATACTTTCCGACTCCTCCCTGGCGGTCAACCAACTGAATGGTGCGTTCGACGCAAAGGAAGACACACTGGCGCATTACATGGAGCGCGTTAAGCAGAGGGCCACAACATTCGAATCAGTAACGTATGCACAGATACCAAGGGAGGAAAATGCGCATGCCGACGCGCTATCCAAGCTAGCAACGGCTACAGACTTCGAATCGACGCGCCTCGTGTCCGTCCAAAAAGAAGAAGATGAAACCACCCCGGGGGTAGCAGTCAACACGACCCAGCTCGTGCCATACGAAGATTGGAGACATCCAATTATGAAGTACCTCCAAGAGGGGGTGGTGCCAGAAGACCCCAAGCAAGCTTGGGCTCTAAGGCAAAAGGCAGCTCGTTGCACGCTTATCGAGGGAGAATTATACCGAAGGTCGTACTCGGGTGTATACCTCAAATGCATTGGGCAGGAGGAGGCGCACGACCTAGTGCGTGAACTACACGAGGGGCTGTGCGCAATGCACGCGGGGCCGCGCAGCATGGAGCGTACCATCCTTTTGCATGGATACTACTGGCCGCGAGTCAAGAAAGATACGAAGAGCTATACAGACCAGTGCCATAAATGCCAAGTCAACGCGCGCCAACACCATTTGCCGGCCACCGAGCTCCAGGGCAACTTAAGCCCATGGCCTTTCGCGCAATGGGGAGTTGATCTCTTGGGCCCCTTCCCAACGGCAAAGGGGAAGCGCAAATACATAATCGTGGCGGTCGACTACTTCACTAAGTGGATCGAGGCCGAGGCGCTGGCGTCCATAACGGCGCAGCAGGTAACACGTTTCTTGCGCAACAACATTTTGTCGCGCTTCGGGGTTCCGAATGCACTCATCTTCGACCACGGGAAGCAATTCGATTGCGCAGAAGTAATGGACTTCTGCGACGAGGTGGGAATCATTGCAAGATTCGCGTCGGTCGCTTACCCTCAAGCCAACGGCCAAGCGGAGTCCTCCAATAAAGCGATCTTGCATGGCCTCCACACTCGCCTGAATGAAGCCAAGGGCAATTGGGCGGACGAACTCCACACAGTGCTATGGGCGCACCGCACCACGTACAAAGTGGCAACGGGCGAAACCCCCTTCGCTCTGACGTACGGCACTGACGCGGTGATTCCCATCGAGACAACGACGCCGACCTACCGAATCACCGGGTACAACGAAGAAGCAAACGACGAGGCGCGCCTACTAGAGCTCGAGTTGTCGCAGGAAAGGCGTGAGTTGGCAGCCATCAGGCTAGCCGCCATGAAAGAACAGGTAGCCAAGTACCATAACGCGAAGCTGGTCCCGCACAAGTTGATCCTTGGCGACCAAGTGCTGCGGCGGAACTTCCGCCCTGACCCCAGGCACGGGAAGCTTGCCTCGGCATGGGAAGGCCCTTACTTGATCCGCGAAGTGGTAGGCGCCAACACATTCAAACTCAGCGAGCTGGGGGGCAACAAGGTTCCAAGAACATGGAATGCGCAGAATCTAAGGAAATACCACCGCGCCAGTTAACGTGTACCACGTTTGTAATAGCGCGTTAGCGCAATAAATAAAAGGACATGGTTCCACGGAACAAAACTTAGCAATAGTCCAGCACTATTCGCGCCCAATCAGTTCGAAAGAACAAAAAATTAGTATGAGTCCAGCACTCTGCGCTCAGTTCCACGGAACAAAACTTAGCAATAGTCCAGCACTATTCGCGCCCAATCAGTTCGAAAGAACAAAAAATTAGTATGAGTCCAGCACTCTGCGCTCAGTTCCACGGAACAAAACTTAGCAATAGTCCAGCACTATTCGCGCCCAATCAGTTCGAAAGAACAAAAAATTAGTATGAGTCCAGCACTCTGCGCTCAGTTCCACGGAACAAAACTTAGCAATAGTCCAGCACTATTCGCGCAAAAGGACACGGTTCGAAAGAACAAAATATTAGCAATAGTCTAGCACTATTCGCGCCTAAGTTCGAAAGAACAAAGATGAGCACCCAGCTCGCACATCCTCCGCGCGAGGTGACAAGGCAAAAGCAGTGGTTGTCGCTCATTCGCGCACACAAAGTTATTACTCATTCGCGCACACAAACATAGTCGAAAATCCTTTGTTCTATTCAAAGAGGGAGCCATGGTGCCGTGCGCGGCTACACACAAGAAAACAAAAAAAAAAGGAGAAGAGTACAAGAAAACAACAAAACAGCTAAGGCTCAATTGGGCCACATCTAAGCAGAACCAGTATCGGGCTGTCCGCCCTCCCTGCTCAACTTGCGGCGCAATAGAGGACGCTCTTCTTCCTCGTCCTCCTCATCTTCGTCGGCCACCTCTCCATCCTTCCTCTCCTCCCCTGTCGGACGCTCAACCTCCTCCCGGCGCTCCACTTCTTCCTCCTCCTCTTCCTCGGACTCGGAGTCAGAATCCAAAGGACGCTTCTCGCTGATCCACACTTTGACGTGCTGAACCATCTCGCGAGTGTCCCAGCGCATCCCCGGATTCTCAGGGCGGATCTTCTTACCAACCGCTATCACGGCCTTGGTCATGGCATCCGCCATGATCTTCCCGAAAGGTTGGGAAGACTTGAACTGGCGGACGGCCGCGACTTCAGCTGCGCGAACGGCCTCCGCCTTAGCAACGGTGTGAAGGCGAACAAGGTCGTCCTTCTCCTTCTGGAACTCCTCGCGAGCTTTGCGCAATCTCTCAGAAAAGGAGACTTCCAGTTCTTCTCGGAGAGCAGTGCGCTCCTCGTTCCGCACCTGCTCTTTGGCCGCCTCAACGTCCGCGGCCAATCGGCTCTGCAAAAGGCCGAGTGACTCCAGTGCCTCGTTGGCCTTAGAGGTAGCGTCCTCCGCGCGATTGTTCGCCCCGAGGACCTTCCCCTCCAGCTGCACGATTTGCGCCTCGTCGGCCTTCATCTTGGCGCGCATCGAGGCGCGCTCTTGCTGAGCGCGAAAGGTCGCCGACAAACCCTGCAACGCCACGAGTCTTAGCCAAGCAAAAAAGAAGGGGGGAGGCTAAGAAAATAAACCTTAACCTAAACCGAGTCTTACCGCGAAATGGATCTGCGCCAGATCGTGAAGAGGGTCCGTCTTCTCCACCCGCGGGGGAACGGAGAGAATGGGCCCGATCGCCCGAAGCGCATGATTGGCTGACACCAAGTTGCACGCCGCGGCGGTGTGAATCCGCACGTCGCGGACTTGGTGGACGGTGGCGGAAGGAGGTACAGCGCTGACGGGAGGAGTGGTAGCGGATGTCCCGGATGAGCTGCCAGCCCCATCCCCCCCTCGACGAGCGGGCCGGCTCACCGTCGCCTCGGGCTCCGAAAGCGCCAGTGAGAGCTGCTGCGCGGCGGACAATTGTGGCGTCGCGGGCAGTTGCTTCGCCGCTTGGACGGTTGGCTCCGCTATGCGAAGGGTCTTGCGGGGCCTCTCTACAACCTGCGGTTGCGGTTGCTCGACCTCCTTCCGCTTCGAGGGTTTTGGCGCCGCGCCGACCTTCTTCTTCCTTTTCTTGTCGGCACGCGGCGCGACGTCATCCACTGACATCATACTCGCGAGGGAAGAGAAGTCAACACCTGCGCCAATAAATCGTAAGAGAGCGGTTAATAAGATAGAATACAAAAAGGAAGGAAACATAACTAACCATCGCCAAAGAGCTCTTCCAAACAGGCTTCGCGGACTCCCCGCTTGTATAAATTCATGCGGTGAGGCATGCAAGCCTCATACTCATCGTTGAGCCCGTCGTATTTACCGACGTCGGACTCGAAACCGGCTATACTGCCCTTCATCCAGGTGGTGGGCTCCGGCAGCGACCCACTCGCCCATTCCCCGGGAGCGGGCTTAACATAGAAAAACTGACCAAACCAAGTCTTCTTCAACTTGGGCGAGCCGTACACGAAGCCATCGGGGCGGTGGTCGCGTCGCTGGATGGAGAGACAGTCGCTCACCTTTGTCGGCTCCTTGATTTTGTACATCTTGCGGAATAAGCCGTAAGTAGGCACGATGTTAAGCCTCTTGCACGCGAGACGAAGGCAACTCGCGTGCATGATCACTGACGGGGAGAGCCGACCGATGGAGCATTTGAGGCGGTCGTATATGGCGCATAACAGCGGGTCGATGGGGAACTTGAACCCCATAACCCAGTATTCGGCATACACACCGAACCACCCAGGGGGGCAGTTACCCACCATACTGCGCACCGAGGGAGCGGCGTACTCCCAACTGGGGGGCAAACCCAGTCCGCGAACCAACTCCTCCACGTCATCCACGTCATACGTCGAGGAGTGCTCGGGTCCGCGCTTGAGATTGTCAGACGGCGCCGGCTGGTCACCCCACATCTCCGCCCATTCGATCACGCGGTATGTAGAGCCAACACCCTGCGGCCCCAAGCGGGCCATGGCTTCGGTAACGCGCTCGACTGCTCGCGGCGCGAATTGCACATCAAAGTCTCCTTGCTCTGTCTCATCGCCGAAGTCTTCATCGTCGGCGACTTCATCGTCGCCGACCTCACCATCGGCGACTTCCTCGTCGGCGATTTCCTCGTCGGCCGCTTCGTCGCCGGCAACCGGCCCACCACCCTGGTTACGCCGAATAATCAGAGTCCCCCGAGCCGGCCGCGCCACCTCCCCACTACCGGAAGCGGTTATACCCTGATCAGAAGAGCTTCCGGCCCCATCGCCCGACCTAGCATCGAACGTCGGCGTCGCCGGAAATCCACCACCACTACTGCCACCCCCACCGTCGGATCCACCGTTCCAATCCCCAGAACCTCCATTCCCACCACCGGAATGGTCAGAAGAAGTATGCGAGAGAGGAGAGACATTACCTTCTTCGCCTTGTACGACCTCGGCCTCCTGGTTGTTGATGTTGGACATGATATCGACTCGAAATCGATCAACAGCAGAAGAGGATTGGGGTAGTAAAAGGAGGAGAGAAAATCTCGAGGAAAGAGAAGTGAAGGAGGAGGGAAATCTTAGGAAAACAAAAGCGAGGCTATGATCGGAGAAAACAAGTGAGCCCTCCTCCCTTCAACAATCTCATATTTATAATTGATCCGGGGGAAAGCGAAGGGCCAAGGCCGTTCGGCGGAATGCGAAAGGTTAAAGCCACATTGGGATCCGTAACAGTCAGATCCCACCAAATCTTTTCGAAATTCAAAAAACCCCCGCCCAAATAGCCTAACCACACAGTGACACGTTGACACCTACGATCATAGGCATTAGTCGGCGACGCCACCAGTGCCGCGCACCGACTGGGGGGCATGGCACACCCGCGAGGAAAAGAAAGACACGCATTGCGTCGCAACAAGAAGACAACCCCATGCGCGCATCGACGGGCATCGCGCGCGAGTATCACGCTCAACGAACAAAAATCAACCGCGAGCGCTTATCGCGAGGATAACGCCTGGAAGAGGAAAACATGCGTCGTGCTGCGAAAAGAAAACAACTCCACGAGCGCATCGCGCGCGAGTATCGCGCTCAGCGAACAAAGACCAACAACGAGCGCATTAGCGCGTACCGCGCACGAAGAAAACGACCCCGTACGCACAACAGCGCGCGCCAAGCATTGCGCGTGGCGACCGAATGAAGCCCAACAACGAGCGCGATGGCACATGGCGTCAGGGCGAGGCGACGCCAGTTCATAGTATCGCGCACGTCGGCGCCAACCAATAGCTACAAGCGGACCGGCCCGAGTCCGGAGGAAACCTAAACAGGGGGCGTTCACAAAACACCCCCTGCTGGGGGGCAATTGTTGGGCATAGGACTCGGGCCTAACCACGCCAAGGAACCGGGCGCAACTGGATGAGACCCCAACACGGCAGCGCGAGGACCCCGAGTGTGCCGCCTCATCATGGCTAACCACGTCCAGGCGCGAAGAGATGACAGGCGCTAGGGAAGGACTAGCGTAGGCTGAACCAGAAGATGAGGGAAGCGCACCTCTTCCAAGCGGGTAGTCACATCAGGGCCATGAGTGGATCTCTGACTCATCCTAGGTAGAGGGATGGCCTAAAAGCCTTAGTATGCCAGTGGTCACATCATTGTATCCCAGTAGTCACATCACTGTATCTCTCCCTATGTCAACCACTCACCCACCACCATGAAGCCTATAAATATGGCATTTACTACGGTGGGTGAGGGGATCGCATTTTTCACCATTCTCTCTCTACAAGAACTACTTCTCTTTCTAATCTCTCTCTCTTACTCACTCTCTCTGATTCTGATTCCTCCGATCAAGCCCGGCTCTCACGTTTCTTCTCGACCCAAACTCTCATTCGAACCTCACTCCTACACTCAGTTAGGTTCAAACAATATGGAACCAAAAGAAAACATGCAAATAGTACAAAAGCAATTAACACCGCAACTACAATCAACCCACCACGCTTCTCACTTACCGACCAGAAATATAGAACTTACAACAGTACAATGGCCATGTTCAGCGGTGGATCCAGAACACAGAAGAGCAGTGGGGCACTTTTTTTTTAGAAAATTAGAACCGTAAGAAAATATAATGATTACAGTTTTTTTTTACAACGTCAATTGTACACGACGGTATTTAGTTTAGCGAATACGTCAATAATGGAGTCCACATCCATACCAATAGTATACACTGTTTCAAATAACAATACTTGAGCAAGGCGAGAAATTCATTGCTTTTTTTTTTGCGCAAATCAATTTTCACATGTTTCATTGTTGAAAATGTTCTCTCCATAGTAGCTGTTGAACGAGAAGCGTCAACACTAGACAAATCATTCGACTAACCCATTTGCATCGTGTGTCCATCCCTATATCCTCCAGCTGCTCTAGTAAATTTTCAAGGGAACAAACCTCATATTTCTTTTAGTCTTTTACGTTTTAGACTCTTAGGTTTCATTGTTTTTTTAGACGAATAATCTTTGGGGCTAGAATTTCTAAACTAAATTTAGAGTAGTGATTTGAATATGTTTATCTGAATCATTTTTCTAGTTACACCCAAACTTATTATAAAATAACACTGGACCGAATGCCTAAAATCGAAATTTCATAAGAACTACACTAACATCAAATCCGGAAGAGGGTTGGGCCAGGGCCCGGAGTGGCCACCCCCTGGATCCGCCACTGGCTATCTTTGTGAACTCGGGCTACCCGTAATTGGGTTGGGTTTTTACTTCTAAAACCCAATGGATTTTTTAAGAAGTAAAACTACCTTTTGTTGTGGAATGTGTTTCATAAGAAAACTATCTCAAAAGATGGAAATGATGGGTTGCTTTCGGTCACCAAAAGTTGAAGCCGGCGGCTCGGCTATTATTGGAAATGGCCGGAGTTTAGTTGAGTTTGCACAATTTATTTTTATCAACTACAAGCATGCATGGAACCAGCTGAAGGACGTAGTAGCCTTTATATAACAAGCTTAGCTAACTACTACCAGTACCAAACCTACCACACTACTTCTGAATCGGCCAAAAACCCAGATATCGAATTGCTTCAAAGTTCTTTGGCAATGTCTCTACACTCAGCAGTAACCACCTCCGAAGAAGTCACTGACTTCGTGGTTCACAAAGCCAATGGCTTGAAAGGGCTGGTAGATTCAGGCCTCGCCACAACCCTGCCTCCGCAGTACATCCAGCCGCTGGCTGAGAGGCTCGAATCGATCAAGATCTCCACATCAGCTTCGATACCCATCATCGACGTGTCGAACTTGGACGACCCAAGCGTCCAAGATTCGATCTTTGAGGCCGCCAGCAAGTGGGGTTTCTTCCAGATCGTCAACCACGGCATTCCCTCCCAAGTTCTGGCCAAAGTCATAGACGCAGCTCATGGGTTCTACGGGCAGAGCAGCTCCCTTTCCGTTTCCGACACCGTTTTCTACGGCACCAGCTTCAGCCCCCAGGCGGAGCAAGTGCTGGAGTGGAAGGATTTCTTGATGTTTCAGTACGTCAAAGGGGACGGTGAAGGCGACGAACCTGCTGGTGCCGCGCTCTGGCCTCTTGTTTGCAGGTAATGAAAGAATTAGCAAAATGTAACTCATACGATACAACTTGAAAGAACGGGCAACAATAAAATCACTAAGATGTTATGGGAGAGGTCTGTAGTAATCTGCACTTGGTGTTCAATAGCGTAATGAATTAGCTAGGAGGAGGACGCGACGAACCAGCAAAATTCGGCACAGCAGTGCACGGATAGCATTTTTGTTAAGTAGTAATATATGATTTGATTTTATTTGATTAATTAATGCACCAGGGATCAAGTGCTGGACTACGTGAGAAGCTCTGAGCCAGTGATGAAGAAGCTGGTGGAGGTGCTGCTAAAGAAGATCGGCGTGAATGAGATGAACAAAGAAAGAGAGCGTTGCTTGATGGGTTTACCAAGGGTTAGCCTGAATTACTTGTTGACAAATCAAGCCAGTCAATAATCTTAAATCAAGAAAAAGAGATCGTGACTCTGGTGAAGCAGCATTTGAAAAGAAATACAAACGAAGGAAAAGCAGATTTGGAGAATCAGAAGGATTGATTGAGACAAGGAATTCCATGAAGGAATTCAAAGGAGAAGACCTACCATACTTGGAAGACAACGGCTAGCCAGCAAGCAGTACAAATAGCTCGCTCAGAATCAAGAAGAAGTCACTTTTCCGAGAGATCAAATTACACAGGAAACGCTAGGGATATAGCTAGTGTGATTGATAGTGAAAAGGGGTTTTAGCATTGATTCAGGAGTGAAACAGTGTTAGAGAGAAAGGGTGTTGGAAAACACAGAAGCTGGATAGCTTGGAATTGGGGTTAGTAGATAGAAATCTTGATCAACCTCCCAGGATTGGTTTGGTTGATCTCGTGAGCGCTTAACTGTCATAAATCAAGAGCAGCACATCTAGTGAATCGTTGGAAGTCACAAATCGTGATTTTCCAACCGTGGAGTAGTCAGTATTGGGATTCATTTTCTCCCAATACTGGAAACCACGTAAAAACCGAGCCTGTGTCTTTCATTTCAGCACTATATCTTTTGCTTGGGTTGCTTCTCTCTGTTTTGCAGTTACAGGGGAGTTCGAGTCTGTTCAAGGAAATCAGGTCTTAGCGAAGGAAGAAGAAGGTGCTGAGCAGGGAAGGTAAAACGAGTCGTTTCGATAGAAGTAAGTAATTAACAGGCTTATAATTTGAGTGGGCCGGTGTAGTTGAGCCCAGCACAGGAAAGTGATTCCTCGGCCTACAAACATATATTTGAGTTGGTTTCCAAATTGTCTTCGATTCGGCAATCGTATTTTTCCACCTACACTTGATCTTCCCGAAAAGGGGTTTAGGGTTCACAGGAACCAAATTAAGAACCACGAGGAGGAGGCGTCTCGCGCTCGACGCTGTTAACACGTGGTATCAGAGCCCCGTTACCAGTTAGAAAGGGTTTCACAACCTCTGGTAGATTCAAGGATGGCATCTGGGTCAGCAAGCAACGCACCACTGTATCTCGCAGATGGGTTCTCTCAGAATCGACCTCCAAGGTTCGAAGGAGTAAATTACGGGTATTGGAAAAACAGGATGGAGCTATTCGTCGGATCTACAGACCCTAAGTTATGGGCCAGAGTGATCAAGGGTCCCCATGAACTCAAGGACGATCAAGAGAAATGGTCAGATGAAGATTTCGAGAAGTTTCAGCAAAATTGTAAGGCGACAAACTTGATGTACTGTGCCTTGGGACCAGAGGATTATCACAAAGTGGCTGGATGCAAGATTGGCAAGGAAATCTGGGACAAGTTGCAGGTCACTTATGAAGGTACTTCCCAGCTCAAAATTTCTCGTATAAATGCCCTGAAACATCAGTTTGAACTGTTCAAAATGGAGGATGGAGAGTCGATTAGGCAAATGTATGAAAGGTTTACCAACATTGTGAATAGTTTGGAGAATTTAGGAAAAACATATGAAAGTGGTGATCTGGTGAGGAAAATCTTGTGGTGTCTGCCTGAGAAGTGGACTCCAAAAGTAACAGCCATAGAAGAAGCAAAGAATCTGGAGACATTAGCCATAGACGAATTGATTGGGTCATTGGCTACGCACGAAGAAAAATTGGCAAAGGCAGGACACGAGAAGGAAACCACCGAAAAGGGAAAAAGAGGAGTGGCATTTAAGGCAACTAGCCTTGTTGACGATCCTGAAGAACTCGAGGAGATGGAAGACGAAGAATTAGCATTGTTGAGCAAACAGATAAGCAGACTACTTAGAATTAGAAAAGAAAAGAAACAAGGTGGGTATGGAATTAAGCCTAGAGATTTTGACAAGAATGATGGAGGAATGAAGAATGCTCAAGGAAGAAACTTCACAAGAAATCGAGGAGAACCTAGTTCAGCAACAAAGGGTGTAAGCTCAACAGGTTGTTTTAAGTGTGGCAGAATGGGGCACATCAAAGCTGAGTGTCCTCAGCTGAAAAAGGAGAGAGCCTTAGCAGCAACATGGAGTTGCAGTGAAGATGAGGACGAAGAAGATGACGAAGTAACAGTCCACAGATCATACATGGCAGTCGCTCAAGTGGAAGAAGAAGATGAAGAACCAGCTTCTCCTATATCCTTGACCTAGGTAAGATCTGCGCAACTAGAACAATTATATAACTCTGATGATGAGTTGTTGGGTGAAATTATCAACGATATTCAAACAGAGTTTGAAAATGTTAAAAACAAATATAGTAAATTGAAGAAGGAAAACGAAGTGAATCTGCTCAGATTAACAGAATTAGAGAAGGAACTAGTATCTAGTAAAGCTAGAGAGAACCTACTCAATGACAATATACTGAAGATAAAGGTAGAAAAGGAAAAGTGTCAAAAGGAGTGTACAAAACTTAAAAGAGAACTACAGGAAAAAGGGAGACTTCATAATTCTGGAAAACGAATAGACAGTAATCGAGAAATGGTTGAGTGTTACTACTGTCATTCTTTTGGTCACAAAATTAGGGATTGCAGAAAAAGACTTAGATCAGAATCCTTGAAAAACGTGAATTCACATTGGTCTCATGGTTCAACTAAACAAGTCTGGGTAGTCAAGTCAGAAACTGAAAAGAAAAATAGTACATCCAAATGTGGTCAGTATGAACTATGTTATGATTCGAGAATCTCAAATGCACCCAAGAAGATCTGGGTTTGCAAAACAAAATGAATATTGTGTTTGCAGAGTTTCCTTCAAGTGAGCATGGAGGTGACTAAATGGATTATGGACAGTGGATGCTCACATCATATGACAGGTAATAGACACCTCTTTTCATCTCTTAAACCAGGAAACTATGGTAAAGTTTATTTTGGTGATAACAACTCTGCTGAGATAATTGGTAAAGGTCAAGTGGGAAGTAGTCCCTGCATAAGGAATGTAATGCTAGTGGAAGGCTTGAAGCATAATCTAATATCCATAAGTCAGATGTGTGGGAAGGATAACCGAATTATCTTTGAGTCAAATTGCTGCTATGTGGAAAATGTGAAAAGCAGACAAATCTTATTTACAGGAAAAAGGAGTGGGAAAATTTATACCATTAATCTAAACGACAAGAGTAGTTTTAATGAGATGTGTTTGGTTAGCATGGAAACTAGTGAACAACAAGACTGGCACATGAGACTTGGTCATGTTAATGTTGCTGTTCTCTCTAAATTGGCCAGAATGAATCTAGTTAAGGGTTTGCCAAGAATCAACGAGAAGAAGGATTTCTTCTGTGATGCTTGTGCTCAAGGAAAACAAACCAAGTCTAGCTTCAAAAGCAAAACAGTCTTGTCCACATCTAGAGTCCTAGAACTGCTACATCTTGATCTGTTTGGTCCTGCAAATGTTGTTAGCTATGGTGGGAAATTGTATGCATTTGTCATCGTGGATGACTACTCTAGGTTCACATGGGTGCTGTTTTTGGCTAAGAAAGATGAAGCTTTTGAGCAATTTAAAACATTTATTAAAAGGGTTGAAAATGAAAAATTAAGTCAGATTGCTAGCATTAGAAGTGACCATGGGGGGGGGGGGATTCTGTTCTGATATGTTTGAGCAACTATGTAATGACTCAGGAATCACTCATAATTTCTCTGCTCCAAGAACTCCCCAACAAAATGGAGTAGTGGAACGGAAAAATAGAACTCTAATTAATATTGCTCGTACCATGCTTCATGACTACAATCTACCTAAGTATTTTTGGGCAGAGGCAGTTAATACAGCATGTTACGTAACCAATCGAGCACTAATTAGATCAAACTTGAATAAAACTCCTTATGAAATTTGGAAAGGAAGAAAGCCTAACTTAGGATACTTTCATCCTTTTGGATGTAAGTGTTTTGCCTTGAACACGAAAGATAATCTAAGGAAATTCGATGCTAGGTCTGATGAGTCAGTATTTTTGGGGTACTCAAACTCTAGTAAGGCCTACAGAATCTTTAACAAGCGGACCCTCAAGGTTGAGGAGTCCGCCAACGTGATATTTGATGAAGGTGATATTGAGTGTACAGATGTTTTTGATGACAATGTGGACTTTGGACTTGGAAAAAGTATTACTCAAAGTAAAACAGGAACAGCAGAAGAAACTCAGGACAGAGCTACAAAGCAGCTTTCTTCGGATGAAAAGGAAGTGACAGCCTCTGATTAGTCAAATGAAACAGAGAACAACATGAAAGATGGATCTGAGGGAACTGCAATACAACCCCCTCCTCATATAGTTAAGCGACATCCTCCCAGCCAGATTATTGGAGGATTAGACCAAGGTATGACAACTCGATCAAGAACTTTGTCGTCTCTAGCAGCTTTTGTGTCGTTAATTGAACCTAAGAATATAGAAGAAGCTCTTCAGGATGAATTCTGGACAGCTTCAATGTTTGAAGAAATGAACCAGTTTGAACGTGCTAATGTATGGGAATTGGTACCTAAACCAGAAAATCGAGTCATAATTGGAACAAAATGGATTTATAAGAACAAGTCAGATGAGATAGGTACTGTGATTAGAAACAAATCTCGATTAGTGGCACAAGGATATTGTCAGGAAGAGGGAATAGACTTCGAGGAGACATTTGCTCCAGTTGCTAGACTAGAAGCAATTTGCATGCTGTGTGCTTTTGCCAGTTCAAAAGGATTTAAATTGTTTCAGATAGACGTAAAAAGTGCCTTCTTAAATGGAGATTTAAAAGAAGAGGTTTATGTGTCTCAACCCCCAGGTTTTGAAAATCACAGTTATCCTAATCATGTATATAAGTTAAAAAAGGCTTTATATGGGTTAAAGCAGGCTCCCAGAGCCTGGTATGACAAACTAAGTTCCTTTCTTTTGGAAAATAGCTTTAGGAGAGGCAAGGTGGACAAGACTCTATTTATTAAACATGATAAGGAACACATTCTGTTAGTTCAAGTGTATGTAGATGATATTATTTTCGGATCAACAAGTGAAAAACTGTGCAAAGAATTTGAAATAAAAATGAAGAGTTCTTTCGAGATGAGTTTAATGGGGGAATTGAATTTCTTTCTAGGACTTCAAATAAAACAATCGTCTGCTGGAATTTTCATTTGCCAAACCAAATACCTTCAAAACATGTTAAAACGGTTTGATTTTGGAAATTTAAAGACTGCTGTAACCCCCATGGCAGCAAACGCTAAGCTTGATAAGGATGATTCGGGAATTCCAGTTAATGATAAGCTATTCAGAGGGATGATAGGATCCCTGCTGTACCTAACTGCTAGTCGTCCTGACATTATGTACAGTGTCTGTGCTAGATTTCAAAGTTCACCTAAACAGAGTCACTTGAGTGCTGTTAAACGAATTTTTAGATACCTGAGTGGTACCCCTGATCTAGGGTTGTGGTACTCACATGAATCTAGTTTAGAGCTTCTAGGTTATTCAGATGCTGATTATGCAGGGTGTGTTGTAGACAGAAAGAGTACTTCAGGAACCTGTCAGTTCCTAGGTACCTCTTTGGTGTCATGGTTCAGTAAGAAGCAAAACTCTGTTGCTTTGTCAACAGCCGAAGCTGAGTACATTGCGGCTGGCTGCTGCTGTACTCAGATTCTCTGGATGAAGCATCAGCTTCAAGACTATGGCCTGCTCCCTAGTTCAGTGCCTGTGCTGTGTGACAACACAAGCTCAATCAATATGACCAAAAATCCAGTTCATCATTCTCGAACAAAACACATTGATGTTCGTTATCATTTTATTCGTGAACTAGTAGAAGAAGGCCAAATAGGACTAGAATTTGTCCCAACTTCATGTCAATGGGCTGATATCTTTACAAAGCCTTTGGGCTCAGAATCCTTCATTCGCATTCATCGTGAACTAGGGTTATTCACATTACAAGATATAGCTCACCTGCCGACCAAGCCCTAGGAGTCGCCCAGCTGATCTGAGTTACCTTCTTTACCTCGATTCCATTAGAAAAGCTTAGGATCAAGAATCCCCTTAATTGTGAACTAACTTACCTTCCTCAATAATACTTTCCTTGACTCTTGGAATTCTTCCGGATCAAGTTTTTCTTGTTCCTTATTCAGACTCACCTTCTATTAATGAGTTCACCATTCCACTTTAAAAGGAGATCAGGATTGTAACCTATCTCACATCTCTCGTTTGCAACCCAAAGGCTATCATGGCTGCCCCAAATCATCACATAGCTTCTCTGCGTCTAGCTCAAGCTGCCATTTTCAATGGGAAAGGGTTTGAAGATGCAGCGGGGTATGCACGCTACCTCCACCACTTCCAAGATCGTTCCCTGCATCCCTCTATCACCCTCGATCCCTCCAGATTCAATAGGTATGGGATGGATGTCCCACGCCTAATCAGCACTATTGGATGGGGGGATATTCTTCCAAATCGCAACTTTGGGTTTCGTCCTGAGGCAGTTCGGATGTTTTATGCCAATATGAAGTCGTGCCTTCATATCTCTCCTCCGTGCTTCACAACGATAGTATACAACTATCTGATCACCATCAATGTGGAATTACTATCTCTGTTGCTTGGAATTCCCATTGCGGGAGCTGAAGTCATGAATGAAACTGACTTTCATTTTGTTGATTTCAATGAAGGAGATGCTCTGCGGCTGTATACCCGCGACACTGGGCGTTACTATCCCTCTGAATTTCATGCTGGTCGGCTTCCAGATGACCTTAAAGTGTTGCATTTCTACATAACTCGTTGCTTTCTGCCTAGGTCGTTTGGGCTCAATACAATTTATCCTTCAGATCTTTGGATCCTGGCTAGTGCCAAAGAAAACCGAGTTATCAGCTATCCCCATCTTATGTTCGACCACACGTTGAACTTCCATGCTGATAACTATGCTGCTGATCTACCTTTCGCACCTCAGATTACTCAGATTCTGCTGGCCTTAGGCATAGATCTCCGTTTTAAGGTGGCTCGTGTTGATATTCTCGGTTCTCTTCGTGCTCAATTCGTTCTTCGTAAGGTGGATGCTTCTGTTGGACGTCGTGGCCCCCGAGTCAATGCTCCAGGGGGAGAAGCAGCCACTGCTGGAGTTCTTTTTCGCCAGGACGGACTCAGTTTGTCTGAGCTAGGAGGGGATGAGGCAGAGGAAGGACCAGATACAGACATAGCTGGCAGAGTCGTAAGAGACAATGGGAAGCGACCAATGGTGGACCCGTTGGAGGCTGTTCGAGCCATGTTCAGGCAGGAGGAGGCAAGCAGCAGCAATAGGGGTCTGATGATGGAGGATGATGATACCATATCAGACTATGTGCCGTCACCTAGGTTCTCATTTTAGAAGGGATATTAAGCTTAGGGGGAGTCAGAAGTTAGGTCGGGTAGTGTGCTTTTCTTAGATGTCGTAGAGTCAATGTTGAATAAATGCCCTGCCTGGGCTTATGTCAATTTACCTTTCGAAGTATGAGTCTAGAGTGTTTCGAGTCACTGTTTCAACAGTTCTGTTTCAACAGTCAATAAAAACTGTCTCGGCTTGGATCGTTATTTTAGTTGAAATACTTGAGCAAAACTTTCTTCAGAACAGTCTTCACGTAACTGTGTGTTGGAGTGTGTGCAGGAACTCCATCAGCAGCTGAGAGGATCATTGACTGACTTAGGGGGAGATTGTTGACAAATCAAGCCAGTCAATAATCTTAAATCAAGAAAAAGAGATCGTGACTCTGGTGAAGCAGCATTTGGAAAGAAATACAAACGAAGGAAAAGCAGATTTGGAGAATCAGAAGGATTGATTGAGACAAGGAATTCCATGAAGGAATTCAAAGGAGAAGACCTACCATACTTGGAAGACAACGGCTAGCCAGCAAGCAGTACAAATAGCTCGCTCAGAATCAAGAAGAAGTCACTTTTCCGAGAGATCAAATTACACAGGAAACGCTAGGGATATAGCTAGTGTGATTGATAGTGAAAAGGGGTTTTAGCATTGATTCAGGAGTGAAACAGTGTTAGAGAGAAAGGGTGTTGGAAAACACAGAAGCTGGATAGCTTGGAATTGGGGTTAGTAGATAGAAATCTTGATCAACCTCCCAGGATTGGTTTGGTTGATCTCGTGAGCGCATAACTGTCATAAATCAAGAGCAGCACATCTAGTGAATCGTTGGAAGTCACAAATCGTGATTTTCCAACCGTGGAGTAGTCAGTATTGGGATTCATTTTCTCCCAATACTGGAAACCACGTAAAAACCGAGCCTGTGTCTTTCATTTCAGCACTATATCTTTTGTTTGGGTTGCTTCTCTCTGTTTTGCAGTTACAGGGGAGTTCGAGTCTGTTCAAGGAAATCAGGTCTTAGCGAAGGAAGAAGAAGGTGCTGAGCAGGGAAGGTAAAACGAGTCGTTTCGCTAGAAGTAAGTAATTAACAGGCTTATAATTTGAGTGGGCCGGTGTAGTTGAGCCCAGCACAGGAAAGTGATTCCTCGGCCTACAAACATATATTTGAGTTGGTTTCCAAATTGTCTTCGATTCAGCAATCGTATTTTTCCACCTACACTTGATCTTCCCGAAAGGGGGTTTAGGGTTCACAGGAACCAAATTAAGAACCACGAGGAGGAGGCGTCTCGCGCTCGACGCTGTTAACATTAATATCCAAAGTGCCCAAACCCCGAGCTAGCTGTTGGGGTCGGCCGCCATTCGGACATTTCAACCATCACCATCCTGCTTCAGGATGATACTGGAGGGCTCTACGTCCGTGAAATCAAAGAAGAAGAGGAGGAGGAGGAAGAAGAAGGTGGTTGTTGGATTCCCGTTCCGCCGATTGAAGGAGCTCTTGTGATAAATGTCGGGGATGCGCTGCAGATAATGAGCAATGACGTTTACAAAAGCGTCGAGCACCGTGCATTTCCCAGCAAGACTAGGAGCAGGGTTTCCATCCCTATCTTCGTCATTCCAGCTCCAGATGCTGTCATCGGAGTTCTGCCGGAGGTTTTGGAAGGCGGGGGGAAGAAGGCCGTTTACAAGTCGGTCATGTATTCGGATTACTTCACCCACTTCTTCGGCAAGGGTCATGACGGGAAGCGTACCTTGGACTTTGCCAAGATATGAACCGAAAGAGGCCGAGTATTGGAAATAACCAGATACTGCTGTTGTACTACGAAAGTATGATGAAATAAAGGCTAATTTGTCACAAGAAAAGAAAGATGAAAGTGGTAAGTGAAATATAATGCAACTAGATAACTGGTCCGCACTTTCCGGCAGATACAAATGAATATTTAATTGAGGTGTATTGGATTGAATCAGATTAAATCAATTTTTATTTCAGTATTGTATGAATTGTTAAAGTTGGCATTTTCAATTATTGATTTTATATATATTAAAGAGAATTATTTGAAAAGACACAGCCCCTCCTGTTCATATAGACTGTGAATTACTGTTCAATGTGACCGAAATTTACTGTTTGCCTCCCTCTGATTGCCTGGCCCTCTGAGCCTGGGCCCGGTTGTTTCATTCAGAGAGCTCGGATCGGGCCGCCGGTTTTTGCCAGGGTTGTTCCACCTTGGGCCGGATCTAACTCATGATGTGCGAAGCAAGGCACGTTACGCGCGGATTTGGTTAGAGATCCTCTTCTCCCTCTGACTGTCTTTTCTGCCAGGCCATCACGATGTTGCCTCCATTCCACCTGCATTGCTTACCTCACACTACCGTCTAATCTTTTGCATCGAAGGGTGGGCTTCTTTTGTTAGGGAAGCTGCCCTTTGATTCGACCCAGGGGGTATCACCACCGTCCGCGTGTCGACTAACTTTTTCCACATCGGTTTAACTCTGGTTTGCTGAATTCGCCATGCCACTTTTTCTTACACAATAGTTTATGCCTTCTCTCTCCTTCTTTGAGCTCTCATTTTACTCTCGCTCTGTTCGGTGGTTCTGGGTAGTTTCCGCAGCTTTGGAATGAAGTTCACTCTGCTCTGAAACCTTGGTGGTCCACGCAAAGCGGATATTGCCCTGCGCCTGAGGTTGTTGCATGCATGGGCTGCAAAATCGCCCGGTGATACTCGCGTGTACAACTACGCCACCCTCTGGGTTGATGAGACTGTGAGTTTGTGTGCATTCCATGTACTTTTGTTGCATAGTGTTTTCCACTCGCAAACGTTACTCTTTGCGCTAATGGTTTTCCTCCTTGCTTACAAGGTACCTTGATTCACGGGGTTTCGCCATCATCAATGGCTAATGGCATCCGCAAGAATCTTTCTGTTGGGAAAGTTTATGTCATTCGGTCGTTTGATCTCGGCAATCCACCAAACCAGTATCGGGCGTGTTCATTCGACCTGGCCCTCAGCCTCACACCTTCGACTTCTTTTAGGGAGTGCACCTTACCAGCTGGAAGCTTCCCAATAAACTCTTACGAGTTCTTGCCCATCTCTCAGTTTATATCGCGTGCTGGTGATCATAGGGCACAGCGGCGGATCCAGGATACTATAGAGCACTGGGCCGCATTTCATTAGAAAATTAGATACCGTAAAAAATCACAATTTTTTTTTTACAATATCAATTGTACACGTCGATCTTTTAAATTTTAATATAGTTAATTCATCAGTAATGGATTTTACATCCATACCAATAGCATACTCTCTTTAAGATAAAATAGTTAACCAATTGGCGAGAAATTCATTGCTCATTTTGTTGCACAAATAATTTTTCACCTATTTCATTGTTAAAAAGGTTCTATCCATAGTAGTTGTTGAAACGAGCAATGTCAACATTGGACAAATCAATCGACTAATCAATATTATTTTCTCAATTTCTATTTTCACCAGCTGCTCTAGTAATTTCTTAAGGCAATAGACCTCATATTTTTTTTAGTCTTTTTACGTTTTAGAATTTTAGGTTTCATTGTTTGTTTTTCTTTAGATGAGAATTATTGGAGCTAGAATTTTCAGGCTAAATTTAGAATTGTAATTTGAATATGTTCATCTTATCCATTTTCCTAATTACACATAATCTTATTATAAAATAACACTGGGGTAGGTATTTGCCAAACAACAAGTTTGAGACCAAATATGCTCTGTAGACAAGGCCACACATCTGAATAATCTCTACTCTCCTAACATGGAAAATGCTTTGGCAAATCAAAGAACTAGAATATAGATGAGATCACCAAAAACTTGGTTGTCACATCAAAGGTCCGCCGGCGACGACTAAGTCTGCTTACTCCGGCCAACTAAGTCGACTACCCAGACTCTCCAGCATCCAGGTAAACCACAGGAACAGCTTCGCTGGGGGAGGCGACGACGGCGGCGGAAAGGGATCCTTTGGCGCCTTCGGCTCGGAATATGTACTGGGTCTGCCTGAGCTAGTGGCTCTGAGATTAGCGCCTGAACACTTACTGTTGGAAGATGGAATAGACGCTCCGGTGCGGCAATGGTGGGTTCCCCACTGGTATTCAGAATTTTCTCCAAGTTTTGAGCTTCCCGCTGGATTTCGAGCATGAATCCTTCAGACGGGGGGAAGACAAAGTATTTACCTTCAAGCGAGTCCAACATCGTATGGTTATCTTCTTCTGGTAAAGACCCTAGCGGCTCAGTTGCCATCTCCTGCCTTTCTTTTCACCAACCCTCTGTATGATCTGACTATTTCGAAGGCTTGGCGGTGACGCTAAAATTTTGGAGGGAACAAACGGGAAATTCAGGCGGGAACCACCGTCTAGTGCCATTACTGGGTAGATGGCAGCAGTATTTAAACCCAGGATCATTTGGTCTCTCCTACAGCCCAAAAATCCAATCCGCCCCAGATCGTGCCCCTGATTCCGGGAGAATAGTAGGCCCGCAATCCTTGATCCCAAAATCCGCTTCGGATTCAGAATTTCTTCCTGCTCCGGAGTCAAACCTTCTTCCCAAAATCTTAGCCTGGATCCTTTTCCGGCAACGTGCAAGGTGGCCGCCGATCACCATTAAGATCCGTTGAAACCGTTATATTCATTATTGGTGTTGAAAATATTCAAATTACTATCCCTTACCGCATTGTTCGAAGATTGCGGCAGCTGCGCCTCTGGTATTCATTGTCGGTAACGGGTCTGGAATGCCATTACTCCTCGTGATCGAGAGTTAAGAAGAGCGAGGTTCTTCTAAACACGGCTTCAGCCGTTGGGAGTAATAGACCTGCGCGTCTATAATTAGGGATTTAATGGACCCCCTCCTAGTAATGGTAATTTTAAACCTTAATGATCCTTGATTTGTGCCCCCAACAATTCTGGACCGTTTTATGGAAACTTTATTAGCCTCTTCGGGTCTGGTTTTGGAACCACCTTGGGGACGATCTGCCGCTCAGAAAGCGAAATTAAAGCCCGCTTTATTGGGCCTTAATGTCCGGCCTCCCCTCTTGACCGGTTGGGCTTATTTCTACCCTTACCCTTCCTCCTATCCCCGTCCAAACCAAAACTTCCTCTTATTCGCCTTCTTTCCTTCGACTCTTTTCCTCTCTGTTCCCCTTTCGAAAAACAGAGACTTCCCCTTTACCCCCTCCTCTCCAATGGCTGCCCCTGTTGAATTTACAGATGAGGTTCTGGAGGCTGGGCTGAACAGAGCTAGACTGAGCCTCGTTGGACGTCTCCTCTGTTCATCTCATCCATCCCGAATCAGAGCCCAACATATGGCCAACAACATTTGGGCCAAAAGAGCTGCGGTTACGGTATTGGATGCCGGGTTCGGACTCTTTCAATTCGTCTTTGCGAACCAAGTCGATTACAATGAAGCACTAGGGAAGGCCCCTTGGTTCATCCAATCGAAAATCCTCACATTCAAGAAGTGGGAGACTCCCTCGGAAGAACTATTCCAGGAATTGGCCAGGGTGCCGTATTTGGTTCAACTCTGGAATTTACCAGAGGAATACAGAACTGTGGCACTCGGTGCCCTTCTGGCTTCAAGGCTGGGAACCGTGGAGGACGCGGCTATGTATGCTGTCTGGGAAAGTCCGGGATGCGTCTTCAAGGCCCGCGTCAAGATCGATGTCTCTGCTCCGCTTGAGCACAGACTGGAAGCAAGGAAGAAGAACTCGGATGGTTCGTCTGGCCCGTCGTTTTGGGTGTCACTGAGATATGAAGGAATCAGAACTGTATGCTACAAATGCAGGAGAATTGGCCACAACCAACATAACTGCCCTTTCGAACTAATTGCAAGAGACGACGGGTTTGGCCCGGAGATTATTGGCAACAAGACGGGACCAAAAATTAACGAATTCTCGTATGCCTCGGCTCGAAATGGAGGACGCGGTAGAGGAGTCAATGTCTGGCGCCACACGGAGCCAGCTGTTCGGCGACAGATCGGGACTCGTCTTCTCCTTGAAGCCCCGCCGTCGCACCATACCCAGGGACGGGATGGGATGCCTCCTGCTGACCCAGAAACTGGGAAATCCGGCGCGGCAAGAAGGCGTGTGAGAGGCCAGGCCCAGGGCCATTTCTCTAGGCCAAGCTCTCCTAATGCTGGGCCTGCGGTTGGGCTCAAAAGGGCATGCCAGGGTTTAAGGGCTGGGCCTAACAGGAGAATCTGTATCAGCAAGCAGACCTCCCCAAGAATGATCGAAGATGGGCCTCTAAGGGAGCCCAACTCTGGGAATTGCTATGAACACGCAAATGGCGAACCAAACTTGGTAAGCCCAATCCCGCTGCAAGTTCAGGAACCGACCAATACCTTTGGGCTAGGTAATTTATATTGTGATGAAAATCCAGATTTTTTATTTGAAGATTTGGATGAAGCTAACCCGTTTGGTTATCAAGGAGATTTGGGCCTTCTTAATATCGAGGCCCACTTATTATCTTCAGAATCTGCAGTGTCATGCTCCCCG